CAGAGCTGTACAGGACAGTTCATGACTTCTTTTGTAATTGTTTCAACAGCTGAATGATTACTCAGCAGCCTTCCACGGTTAGGACCTTGCTGGGGTTGTGGGTCCTCAGTACCCTCTCCCTGCATGAGACTTAGAAGGCTGGAGAGAGACAGGATGTCTCTCGTATCGGAAATCTGGAGACCCAGTCCTATTTGACAGCGATTTTAGCCGATCCTGTCCTCTGAGTGCACTTCCAGTATCGGACTGTGGATTGAGGGCATTGCATAGGAGACTTGTCACCGGACACTATCTTTTGTTAGGGTGCTGCGCCCTGCTTCTAGCAGGGCTCACAAGGGGTTACTGGTTCCCTTAACACTGAGTAAACACACAGATGGAGCTTTGTTAGTAAGTAATTCTCACTGAGTAACATGGATGTGTTTTGGTGGATAATTCTTGATCCTTCCAGTTCCTTTTGGATGTTATTTTGGCATTAGCAGTTAGGGTTAGACTGGTGACTTTTTTCTACTCTTGTCCTGGTACTATTCCCAATCAAGGAAAATTTCTGGTTTAGTTCTAAACCTGTTTTCTACCTAACCACTGGTGTCATTTCTGTGCTGATATGAGCAAAAATATTATTGATAAAACTCTATAGCTGCCAATATGCTTTTAGTGGAATGCATTTGCATTTGGTGGTCTCTGGTGCAGCACTTCCTGAGAGCAACAGATTGCTGTGCAATTTTTGCTAATGCATCGTTGGCCAGCATCCCCATATTTCTAACAATGTCATCAGGTGTGCTATTTTCTAGGAGATTTTTTACAGTGGTTTCTGAGAGAGCAGTTGTCCCTTTAGGGAAGTGTGAAAAACTTCAATCAGCTCTTACAACTCCCGCTTTTCATTCCACAAACTTCTCTTTTCATGATCAGAAAAGAAAAGAGAAGAGAGATGGTGATAGTGACAGTAATAGAAGGGAGGTGAAAGAGCAGTATATTCTCTACAAAATCCTTATGAAATCCATTGTTTCTGGAAATACATGCAGGTATATCACCATTTGTCATTAGTTACCTGGTTTTAAACAAGAGATTTTGAGATTACAACAGAATTACTTCTCCAAAAACTGCTTTGATTGTGCCTTAGAATCATAGAATCGTTTAGGTTGGAAAAGACCTTTAAGATCATCAAGTCCAACCATTAACCTACCACTGCCAAGTTCACCACTAAATCATGTCCCTAAGCACCACATCTACCCATCTTTTAAACACCTCCAGGGATGGGGACTCAACCACTTCCCCTGGGCGAAGAGACCGAGCCCCACCTCGCTACAACCTCCTTTCAGGTAGTTGTAGCGAGCAATAAGGTCTCCCCTCAGCCTCCTTTCCTCCAGGCTAAACAACCCCAGCTCCCTCAGCTGCTCCTCAGAAGACTTGTTCTCCAGACCCTTCACCAACTTCGTTCCTCTTCTTTGGACACGCTCCAGCACCTCAATGTCCTGGTAGTGAGGAGCCCAAAACTGAACACAGTGTTCAAGGTGTGGCCTCACCAGTGCCGAATACAGGGGCACTATCACCTCCCTGGTCCTGCTGGCCACACTGTTCCTCATACAAGCCAGGATGCTGTTGGCCTTCTTGGCCACTGGTCACAATGCTGGCTCATGTTCAGCTGGCTGTCAACAAACACCCTCAGGTCCTTTTGCACCAGGTGGCTCTCCAGCCACTCCTCCCCAATCCTGTAGTGTTGCATGGGGTTGTTGTGACCCAAGTGCAGGAACCGGCACTTAGCCCTGTTGAACCCCATACAGTTGGCCTCGGCCCAGCAATCCATCCTGTCTAGGTCCCTCTGCAGAGCCTTCCTACCCTCCAGCAGATCAACACTCCCACCGAACGTGGTGTCATCTGCAAACTTACTGAGGGTGCACTCGATCCCCTCCTCCAGATCATTGATAAAGATATTAAAGAGAACTGGCCCCAATACTGGGCCCTGGGGAACACCACTTGTGACCGGCCGCCAGCTGGATTTAACTCTGTTCACCACAACTCTTTGGGCCTGGCCATCCAGCCAGTTTTTTACCCAGCGAAGAGTACGCCCGTCCAAGCCATGGGCAGCCAGTTTCTCCAGGAGAATGCTGTGGGAAACGGTGTCTAAGGCCTTACTAAAGTCCAGGTAGACAACATCCACATCCACTAAGTCTTGTTCCTAAGGAGAACCAACTTTGTGATATGTGCTTTTTTTTTAAACAGCATCTCTACAAGTAATTATTCCAGAAAAGGAGGGATCCTTTTTCTCCAGAGTAAGTGCACCTCATTAAACTCATTCAGTGTAAGGCACTACTACTGTAGAAGTTAGTCTGTACAAGATGTTAAAGCGAGAAAGGCCTCCCTCAAAATCCAAATTTCATGATTTAACTGTATGTCCTAAGTGTTAAGGTGAAATGCTATATAAGATTGATGATTGTGATTTAAAGCAAAGTTAGGTAAGATACCATGGTTTATGTGATTTTTTTGTTTTTTTTTTATTTTTTAGGGATACGTCTTCTTCAGGAAATAGCATTTTGGCATGTTGAGGATGAAAGAACCTTTTGCTTGTCTGTGTTGTATTATTAGTATGTGCACTAAGGTTTTTGCTCTGCTTAAAATATAATAGTCCCCTTTAAAACAAAGTAGAAAAGTGACTCTCTAGTTTGGTAACAAGTGGTGAAAAAATACTACTGAAGTAGCATTTCACACTTCTAAATTTCCTTGAGCTGTAGAAATTCAGTCTCAACTATTCCCATTCCAGTTCCTTGTAATACTGATCTACTTATTAGATTATTTTTATTCGGGATTTTTTTGACTTTAAATCACTTGATTTAGAGTTGTGGGCTGAGATGTGTAAAGTACATAGTGGTGAAGTATCAGTGGTCAAACAGCTAACCTTTTTACTTTTGTTTGTAATAGTATGTCATGTGAGTAGAAATAAACAGAGCATGATAGAAAAGAAGGTATTGGTGGTGACTCTAATGATAAAAGGCACCTGAACATTCATGAAACAGTGAAATTACATACTATCCCCTAACCTGTACTGGAATATTGGTTCTTCTGAAACTTCCCCGAATGTAATTTAAAGGAAAATGCTAGTACTGACAAAGCATGTTATAAAGCACAAAGCAAATCTTTATTTGTCCTTTTTTAAAAGGAGGTGAATCAGAAAGCTTCTGCAAAGTAGTCTCTGGAGATATCAAAATGATAAACCAGCAGCGAAAGGCATTTGTAAGACATCTTTCTGCCTGCCTTAATTTGTGGCACTGCTCTGCAAAGGAACTTTGTAAGAATGAAGCCTGACAGACACTGTTTGAGTGATATCTGGGTGAAACTTCTATTAAGAAGACGAGATACTGTTACCACTTACTCTTCTTTCAGTGTGGTTCCATGTATTTCATTTTATTCACAGCTTTGAAGGCAGTTCAATTACTTGCATGGTTCTGTATTTGTAAAATATTTCCTTTGATGTGTAAGGCAAACGAGTCTTACATCAGTTTGTTGTCCCACAGAGGTGCTGATCCTTTGAGAGTATTAACTTCTGCTTTTTCACTGGAACTCTTAGATATAAATGGAAAAGTTGTGTGAAATAGATTTTTACAAGTAAGAAATTTTGCAAAAAGTACCATTTATTTAATGCATAACTGCTTTAAGCAGTGGGTATAGGTAGTATAGCTCTTCTTTCATTAGCTTTAAGAGTGCACTGGTGGCTTGGACTAGGTGTTTTTGCCATGACATAGGGCAGGAATGTAGTGTTTCAAGTGGAGAACAGTAGCTTAAAACATAGCTAGATAGCTCCCAAGGAATTTTTGCAGTCTTATCCCTTGTGCTCTGTACATTTCAAAGTGTAACTGACTGGTGTGTCTGAATGGACAGTGTGCCAGGAATATACAGGAATTGTGTGTGCATTTCAGAAATATTTGAAAGGTGAAAGAAATATTTAAAAGGTAGCTCTTTCTGTAAGTCCTTCTGATGAATAAATAAATATGTGATGATTTGTGACTTACTGCCCAAAGTTGAGGAGAACCAAAGGAAAAAATCAGTTTAGTGATAGCAGGTGATCTGGTTAAAGGATGCCATAAAATACCTTATTCAAACCTGTGCTGTGACTATTTCAGAGATACTCAACACAACTTATTATAGTGCTTAGCCTGCAGCTTTCTTGGATAACAAGAAAAACTTTTCTAATTAGATAGGCTGGATATTATTTGTTATTTTTAATTTTATTTTTTCCTTTTCTGTTCTAGGTCCTGTGCTGTTGCCCATGACGTAATGATCTAGATAAATCTTTTTTTTTTCTGACTCTTATAATGCCTTTTGCTCCATCCTCACTGTTTGTAACAGAGCTGATAAAACAGTCTTCTTCACTTATCTAACTAGCCACTTGCATCACTTTGAAGCTGTCTGCATAGACCTTTCTGCTGGCTTGAGGCTTAATGCAGACTTAGAACTGCAAGTGCAGCAATACCAGGTGTCCAAAACCAGACACTAACAACAACTTCAGAAGTTTTATCTTTTGAGCACTGGAACTTTTTGATACACTTTAAAGAAAGTGCATGTATTGTGTTTAAGATAAGTATAAATAACACTATATGCATTCTTCAGTCATGGGCTTAGGATTTTTTTGGGGGGGGGAGTCAGGTGGTGTCAGGGGTTTTTTTGAGGTTAGTATTTTCTGTGTTTTCATCTTTGTTTTAGTGGAGATAACATTTGCATTTAAAATTTTGCTAGGATAAGCCTATTTGAAGTGGTTGCTATTTCCACAATTATTCTCAAACACTGCGTGAATTGTATTGTTATAGCTGGAGCACAGCTCATGTATGTTTTACTCTCACATTGTGCACAGATGCTTCTATTTCTACTCTTTTTCTTGATGATTTAGGAATGCACTAAAACTAATTGGTCTCACTGTTGACCAATTTTCAAAGCCAAGAAAATACTGTGCATAATTTGCTTAATAGAGTAATAGTAAAGTTACTTTTTTGTTTTCTGTTTTTCTAATGTAATAGAAATCAAAGGCAGAAGAGAAAATCAAGTTTGGTATTTGAAAATATCAAAACTAGCATTGGCTTTTGCAATTATCCACTCAAAACCACCAGGGAAGAGTTGCAAAGAATACACTGAGCACCTTGCCAAAACTGTATCCGAACAAGATTTTGGATGGAAATCGAAAGTTGAAGCACTGGAAGCTGAAGTTCTTCGATTACGTCAGGAACTTCTTTTGAATAAGATCTGTCCGAGATTCTGCTTGGAAAAGGGTGAGTTTCTGAAATAATTTCTGACTATGTTGCAGTAGAAAGGAAACAAACAGCTTTCATGTTGCCTGCCCCATTTCTTGTACCTAGATACGAGAGTGTTCAGTGTACAGCTTTCTATTTTTTCCAAAGCCCTGAAGTAGTAGAACACTTAATTCATTTGTAATGGGACTGAGCTTGAGAACTTGATGCTTACTCAGAACTTACATTTTTAACCTTCAGAATCAATATGTAGCATATGGAATAATTCCAGACAAAATTGTCAATACAAAGTGTTACTCTGTAACCTCAGAGATATTAGTTTGTAAGAGTATTGATTTACCCTATTTACATTTGGAACATATCTTAAAGACACATTGCATATTTTTTTTACCACTTTAAGCATGCTTAAAATCAGAATTTAAACCTAATGTGTTGAAAGCATGAATCCCTAGTATGTATAACGGGAAGGTTGAGCAGGCAAAGGACTGTATGTCTGCTATCTCTGTTAATGTATTTAGACTGTGGATACTGTGAATGTTTATTATGACATATGATAAAATATTGTGAGTCTGATATTGTAGGATTCAGTTAGTTAAAGAATATGACAAAAAAAAAAAAAAAAAAAGAGCTCAAACAGCACTGTTTCTCTGACTTGTGCCTGTGGAGTGAGTCATTCTCACTCTGAGAGATCAATGGCACAGGGCTCATGAGCTTGGAAATCAGGCAGTGGAGGATATCTCCAGTCTCTGGGGGGATATTCCCCCTGGGAGACAGAGGTCAAAACGATCTGGGCTGAAGGAGAGAGACAGCTCACTGTTGAAGAGATCTCTAAAAGCAAAATGACTAGCTAGTTGCTTTATGACTTGAGATTTTTAGAAGGTTCCCTGATAGAAAACTTGATGAGGCTTTACTGGAATGCTTTTGTACTGAAACGGTAGCTTCTTTATCGCCTTGTAAAAAGATTTTAGATTCTAACTTTGTCTGAGTGGAGGGATGTATTAGACTTTAGCTAGAAGCTCTAATGATATTTTGTTTTTTATAATAGACCTTTCTCTCTAGAGAAGTGATTTAATGACTATTCATACTTATTGTTTGTGTGTCTCTTCTCTGCAACCTATTCCAAACATGGAGTTTGTTTAAGAGTAAAGGTAACTCTCAAGCTGGTGTTTGCAACAGGTGTCTTAATGTTGTGAAGAACTGATTAGATATGATGCATGATCAGGAGAGATTTATTAACATATTCTAATTATGGATTAAGCAGAACATATGAAACACTAGAAATGAAATCAATTAATCTGCAACTTCTGTGTTCCAAGTCTAACTTTCTAAAGATTCTTTACCCTGAGCTGTTGAACTGAGCCATACTGATATCTCACTTGCTAAAGTAAGCTCTTCTAGTTGTGAGATTGGCAGAGAAAAGCAACTGTCCCTGGTGAATAACACCTCTTCCAAAGGATGTTTATCTTCATTGCCCTAGTCACAGTGAAGTTTGTTCACAGACCTAAAATGTGATAAATCTTGTATAATTTTAGATGTCTACAGCTGCACAAAATTTTCTGTGCTTTGTTCATTATCTGTACAGGGAAATAGCACGCTTACTCTACAGTTTATGGTTCACTTGACCTATTGCGATATTCACTAATAGGGATATGGTGAATTGTCCACAAAAGACGTCCCTCTCCATTCTGCTAGCAGTAGGCTGACTGGCTTAGAAAAAGTCCCATTATTCCCAAATAATTTCAGTAAGCTGCTCTTCATAGATAGCTCTTTTTATTTTTATGGTCTCAGGAGCCTGTTCAAACATACCTTGGGTAGCTGACCAAGTCTCATTTTTCAGTGAAACCAAACTTTAATTTCAGTCTGTGTTTAGCTAATGGAATCAAAAACAGTAGAGATGAGTATGTGGTATGTATAATCCTATATTCCTTCAGTTTCTCCAGGGTACAAAACCAACACCCTATTAATTTGAAGGATTAGTGTGTAGCTCCTTTTCCCTTCAAATGTTTGTTTATATTTACGACTTCACTGTTGATAAACCTGTTAGACAGAAAACCTTTTCACGTTTTAAGTACCTATGAGAGTTCACATCAGCCCTACCTACATCGCATGCTGTCCAAGGGGAGTAGGGTGCAGTCCTCCCCTTCAGTTTCTCTTAACCCCTTGGCTGTAAGAGAGCAAAAATGTGTGGAAAATCTGAACTGTATCATAATTTCTATTTCTTCATACAGGTTTTCCTTAACATTGAAAGGGCACTTGCGAGCTCTTGGAGTCTTGGAGACAGACATTTTTTGTGATATTTCTTTCTTTTGACTGTTTCTTTTTTTTTTTTTCTTTTTTCTTCTAAACCTTGGTATGATGTGTGAACTCTTCTGATAATGGATTTGAGCCATATGTTACTTTGGAAAGATGTTCTTCATCACACAGACGTAACTGCTGAGTGAACATTCATGGGTACAGTTATGTTGGAGAAAAATGCTCAGTCTCTTGCTTTTGAGTAAAGAAAGATCGTTGCTGCTATCTGATGGGATATCTGTTGGTGAGATCTGTGCACTCTTCTGGTGATCCAGTTGATGATGTGTATTGAGAGCGGAACACCTGTGGTTGACATTTAAAGGAAGATGGCTGTAGAAACAAAGCCTACCTGAAATAGGGGCCACTCTACCACTGACATCTTCTGCTTTGGGAGAAAAAATTTCCTCTCTTCTGTGTTTTGCCAGTTTTGAGATTTTTTTCAAGCCCATGAAGATTAGAAGCTAAAGGTTGGCTACCTAGGAAGGCTTAAGGAGCTTGAATCTAAGTTGAGAGGAGAAGTGGTAAAAGTAGCATTCCATCCCGTTCACCTGAAGGCTATTATAGATCCATCAAGCCATTGTTATGGTTTGTTGGTGGTGATATATTGCCCAAGTTTACAGCCTAATATCACACCAAAGAAGTTCTCTTTAGGGCCGAGGATAACTGGGCTTGTTCTTAGGGCCAGGTAATCTACAGATGTCATGGATCCTTTTCCTCCTCCACTCATTTCTCCAGCCTTGTTTTTGGAGTTGGTGTTCTGCTTAAAACAATGCAACCTCTTAAAAGAATTCAAACCCTCAGCTTTTCTTTGGCTTCCTTGTGTTCTGCTTAACAACTCTATAGATGCAAGAATACCAGGGTTTCACAAAATCCACCACCGGAAAATCTCATGCAGTAAGGATCAGATACTGCATTTGTGTCTGCTGCTGCCTGTTGAGAGCTGAAGAGTTTGAGTCCTTCAGCCAAGGTTCACTTTGCAGCTGTATCTTTCCTGCTCTGCATTCTGAGTGTGAGAGCTTTCCTCTCCCACCTGCTGTTGGTAATAATAATAGTTGGTCTTTCAGAGGCTTCAGGAATGATTAGAGACTGCCCATGGAGTTTTATTTCCCTGATATGAGAAATTTGTGATCTCTTTGAAGCTGTGATACCTGTTTTCCTTCTCCACATAAAGTTGCACACAGTATGGATGCACAAGCACATGAAGGAGAAAGAACAAAGTATCCATTTTTAAAGATATGTTGTCTAAATTATTTTTGTCCCACCTGACTAGTTCTTTGTCCTCAGAGACCCTAAAAAAGTTTGGGTTTCCTCGCTGAAGGGGAGGAACATGCTTTGCTACAGGTGAACTGTTTGTTAGTATGGATTGTTACAGTTTAATGTGTTGTTTAGAAAATTGCTGTGGTATATTTTCACTGACTATGCTGTGTTTGGAAGTTCCTTAATTGACTTAATGTGCAGCTGTCTTTCTGAATACAAGGACACTGGTATACCTTTTACATGGTGGTGCTTTTGGCTGTATGTCAGCCATCCAAGGAGGAGGATAAACAAATCTTTTTGTAATTGTCTGTTCATTATTTTTCACCTTGCCGGTATTGTCCTGACAACTATGCCCATTGGCAGAAAAAAAATCATATTTCATATTAATCAAAGTTTCTTGCCTTTCTTCGATTCAGATGGAAATTTCACAGAGAGGAGGAGAGAAACTCGTTGGTGTTACTCTGAGACTAAGAATATAAAATATTTGAGCATTCTGTTGTCACTTTGCTGTGGAGCTACATGAAAAGACAAAGGGTCTTACAAAGCATTGATGAATTGATAGATTCATGGATTGAAGCACCTGTCCTCTAAGACAAATTCCTTAGCTTTTATCAGCTCATCAAATCAACAATCATATTGTTTCTTGGCAGCCTCTGTTAAAGAGATCTGAAAAGCCTGCAGCTGTTACTCCAACCTAAGAAGGCATAAATGCAATACTCTACCCTTTTTTGCCAAGCACATATTTTAGGGATGACAATTTAGAGGATAGATGTTTATTGCCTTGGTTGCTTTAGGCTGATACTCTTGAAGGGTTCCGAAGCAGTTATCCAGGACCTATTTTTAGCAAAACTTGTACTGAGTATGTATTCCCTCTTCCTTAGCTTCACCTTCAATCTTGGTTCCAGTTATTCCCTTCTTATTGCAGTGGACAGGAATTTACTGAACTGCTTGCTCCTCTAATTAACAGAAAAAAAAATCAGATTCTCCCCCCCACCTCCCCCTGCCTTTTTTAGAATTAGTTTATTCTTCCTTGTATAGGTCAGTTACAGTAGAACTTCATCTGCCATGCGCTGAAATCCCCTCCTGTGTTCTCAGCCTGCACAGTAGCATATGGCTGCCAGCCCACCCTACCATAGTGTGGCTGTGTGTTTAGGGAAATGCTGAACTCCAAGTCAGAATGTGGTTAACGTGAATGTCTGATCTTTAACTGTGTCCTGAGGCTATGTTTGACTTTTCACGATGCTGTCCCCTAAATTCTGCTTCCTGTGTCAAGACATTTGAAGCAACGTGTATCTCTTTATGGAATAAGAGCCAGAGACAGAGAGTTTTGTATGTCCTGATTCACTCCTTAACTTAGTGTGTTCCTTGAGGCATTTTGTCGTACAAGTGGAAAAAGGGAGCAATTTCCTTTGTAGATTAGTAGGAGTGGAGACACTTCAGTCTCCTTTCTTCTTGCTGGAAGCTCAGACTTG